TTCTATATAGAGGTCTACCCAACACATTTGTTTTTCTATTTTGCTCTTAAGTATGATGTTCTTAACATTAGACCGCTTTCTATTTTATTTTTAATTTTTTTTGGAAGTGTATAATGTCCGCGGGGGGAGCTTAAGATGTGCAGTTTGATGTAGTAAGCATTGAACTACTTATAGCAATTATTATTGTCCTGTTTTGTTTGATCTGAAATTAAAAATATTGGACAACTTATCACTATGTTTTTCACAGTCCAATGTTCAAAATATCAGACCGCCTGTCAATCCAGTGTTTGCTTTGAAGCACAATGTTTTTCATGACATTGTTTGATATGGAATTAGAAATATTGGACAACTTATCATTAAGTTTTTCACAATCCGATGTTCGAAATATCAGACCGTCTATCAATTCATTATTTTATTTTGAAGAATGTATGGCCACAACATTGGACGGCTTTTTACCGCTCCGATGTTTTCAACATCAGATTGGTCTTTAATTCATTTTTATGATATTGAACTGCTCAATTTAAGGGCAATCCAATATTGGAAACCACCCCCCCCATACGGCCATCGCTACACTCCAAAAAATGTTTTTTAAAAAAAAAAGAAAAAGTGGTCAACATTGGCCATGAGATAAAATTGAAGGAAAAAAAATGGATTATATACAATGAGATCATTTACCTTTGATACAATGCGGTCACTATTTCTTAAATCATCCGATGTGGTATACAATGAGATCATTACCTTTGATATAATGCGGTCACAATTTCTTAAATCATCCGATGTGAAATTTGATAGCTTGGGTGTATCATAAAGTTCAATAAATTTTTTTTGAAGTTTGAGCTCATTCTATAGAATTAATGCAGCCACCCAATTTCACATCGAATGGTCAAGATTGACCATCTTATACCAAATATAAATAATTTTGTACATTTCCAAAAGAAAAAAAAAATGCTTGCAGAGGTGGACCTTTGCGTAAAATTGTATATTAACTCCTTTTACTTATGGTACGGACATAATTTTTCCTTAAGAAAATGAGCGGATATATAAATACAATATATCATTCTTAGAATGATTGAAGGGTAGAGAGAGAGAAAGTTAAAAAATAACTCTAAAATTATTTTAAAAAAAAACAGGTAGGCACTGTCTTTCCCACTAATAATCCAGATGCAGATGCACGCATATGAGAACAATATGTCATTGTGAGGGTGAAGATTTGAGAACGAGATTCGTGTGGTGTTTGGTTGGAGGATCAACGGATAAAGAGATTCCAAGATTCTATTCTCATTTATGGGAGAGAGAGAGTTTTCATTGTAAACATGATTAGTCAATAAGTGATGTGATGTGGTGCATAAACGAAGACGGCAAAAGGTCAAGAAATTGAATAAAGGCAAATTGAGAGAGAGCTCGTATCTTCATGGTAGCACTTAATTATGAACGAAGAAAACGGCAAACCAATAAATAGTGACACAACGAGGATTGATTTCACCGACCAATAGGATGTGGAGGAGAGAAGGAGAGAAAAAAAAACTAGCTGTATATGTCAAGACAATTTGCTATTAATGTTAGGCGGTTATAATTACCCTTGACTATTGGATGTTAAATTGGATAGTTGTATTTATTTCATCGATTGAAGATAAATTTCAAAAGAAAAATTTTCAAACTTTATAACACATCCAAACTATCATATTATACATGGGATGGTTATAAATAATTGTGATCTTTTTATATAAAAGATAAATAGCCTTATTGTTTAGAATCCCAAAAGATATAGTGTGGCTTTGCTACAACGAAAGTGACAGCTAACCCTGACTGTAGCCCGACTCTATTCCTCGAGAGCGCCCGGCTCTATTCGAGGAGCGGTGCTCACCATGTGGATCGGGGCCACGCGTGGTGATAGCCGTCCTCCCTCTCTTTACGACCACCATGTCGGCAAATTTGCATCACTCCTCATCCCGCCCCGCAGAAATCTCTCATTGTTCTCCATGTGCTAAAATATCTCATTATTCTCCACGTGCTTCTTTCCTTCTCGTGTTTTTGAATTTTTTTTGTGGTTACATTGGAATATAACCTCATTCTACAATACCCTATTGAGTAGAATATGCTTGTATTTTGATTTTTTTTTTTTTTGAGAAGCAGTAACATTTTATTACAATCATAAGAATCTACAGGTTACATCAAAATTCAGTCTCAAATATTGTTAAAAAAACCGGGCGATCTAACCCCTAATCGCCCTATTAAATCGGAACCGGCTAGTGGTTGGTTTCAAGTTTTGGGCGGTTTGATGATTGACCGGTATTAAAAAAAAAAATTCAAAAAAATATAGATAAATTTCCAAAAATAAGAAATTTGGTTTGTAATGCATTTTTTAGTATTATTTACATTATGGTAATGATTAAAAAATTTTTGGTCATTAATACCCACTTTAATTAAAAATCGATTGGTTAAAATCTATTTTTTTCATTAATTTTCAACTTCATTTGAAAGTGTTTTTTTAATCATTCTTTATATGTTTTTCATATTTTGGTAATTTTTTTTTATATTTATATTTTTATCTTTTCAACACTTTTTTTACCATAAGGGAGTTGCCCAATTAAAACTGTTGAATCAGCAGGTTTACTGACTAAGCCAGTTAAACAACTTCTGGTCCCATGTCCAGTTAACCGTTACGGTTCGATTTTACGAACACTGGTCCAAAAGCCAAATACATCATGTAAACCACAAAAAAAAAAAAAACCTTCTATCCTATATTACATCTTAGGGCTTACAACTATAAGACTGCTAACCCCCATGCCTCATTTTGCTAACCCATCCGCCTCCATATTGCTCTCACCAAAATACATGTACCACATTACATACCAAATCTCTCCAACAATCATTTACTTCACATATACATGTACCACATTACATACCAAATCTCTACAACAATCATTTACTTCATAGATCATACTATGAAGTTTTCATGGATATGCAGCTTCCCTATTAATCCATTTAACAATATTCAATGAATCCCTTTCGATTATCATTGGTTTTTAAAACCTCTTTACCAATTTAATCCCTTGACTTCATTCGCAGTTGTCTCCCCTAAAGGTCCATAATATTTCAACAATACCTTTCCTTTACAGTCCCTAATGATCCCTCTCACCTAAGCTGGCCCAGGATTACCCATAAAACTCCCATCGAAATTCAATTTCACTGGACCCTGGACATTTCTACATACCTATCCTGATTTTCTTCACCAATTTCTCTCTTAATAACAGATTTCTTCACCAATTTCTCGCTTCGTTTCGACTGAAAAATTCAGATATTTGGCCTATACCAAAGCGAAGCAAAGCTTAAGTGCATCAACTTTGTCATGCTTCGGTCTGATTCGGCTTTTTCAATCAAAACTTAAAAACAAATTTTTTATTTATCTATAAATTTTTATTTTAATACTATTTATTTATTTTAATATATTTTTATATAAAAACATATGTTTCAATATTAGTTTTTTAAAAATTTCAAAGTATTATTCTTAATATGACGAAAAATCGAATTGCTTTATTTTTCTCACCAAACCAAAAAAGAATCTCCAATTAAACATTACTCTGCGGCGAGTAATGTACTCATGGAAATGAGTTCTAATTCCATCGCTTTCAGTCATCCGTTCTGCTGAAGCCTTCCGAGCCCATCTCTCTCTCTCTACTCCTCTCTTTCTCTCTTTAGATCATAGTTAGTAAGTCTCGGATTTAATCGCAAATTTTTAAAAAAGATATGTGTTTTTTTGAAAAATGATTTAATATGTGACTTTTTCAATAGATCAGTAAAAATACGTGATCTTTTTAGGTTTTAAAATGTGATTTTTCAAATTTAAAAAAAATCGTTTCAAAATATCTTTCCTATTAATATATTGTGATTTTTTTTTTTTTTCAAAAAGTTTAATATCTTTTTTTGTTTTATGAAATTTCTATTTCTATTCTCTCTGAAACTTTCTCCGATTCTCTGCTATGGATATAATGCATATTTTTTTGGGTGGTTACATGTGACCATAGTTAGCAAGTATGGGTAGATAATTTCTTTTTAGAAAGATGAAAATTGAATTCATTTACCCAATACTTATCTTGACGATTAGAATGGATAATCATCTTTTGATTAGAGATATATCACATTGAATATTTGAAATTTATATTTATAGGGAGGTCATTTTTATACTGAGTGATATAT